ATACTCACTGCTATACCAACCTAGTTATAAGAAGCCATGTTATTGCTATGGTAAGAAAACTTACTGCTATACCAACCTAACAAAATCAGCGACTCGCTTTTGACAGACTTCTGCCATGGCAGTGCTACCTCCAGTTATAATTTTAGCTCAGTGATCTACCCACATTATACTACCAATTACAAAATACAGTACAAAAGGAAAAACATCACTTTGTACTATTAAGCAAAGATTATACTGAAGATTACTCGATAGACCCTACATTGTAGCATATTGTAGTAAAGGCTAGCAGTGTGGAGTGTGGGATCTGTTTATGACGATTTGTACCTGCAATCCTAACATTCTATGGGAAGGGAAGGAAGCAGCTCCACGACGTAGGAAGTGGAGAAGGAAGTAGTAAAGACGAGCAGTCCGGAGTGTGGAAACTGTTTATGAAGATTAGATTAAGGTATCTGCAATCCTAAAATGCTATGGTAAGGGAGGGAAACAGGTCCGCGACGTAGGAAGTGTTTGAAGGAAGTAGTAAAAGCGAGCAGTCCGGAGTGTGGGAACTGTTTATGACGATTAAAGTAAGGTTTCTGCAATCCTAATATGCTATGGGAAGGGAAGAAAACAGGTCCTCGACGTAGGAAGTGTTTGAAGGAAGTAGTAAAAGCGAGCAGTCCGGAGTGTAGGAACTGTTAATGACGATTAGATTAAGGTATCTACAATCCTAAAATACTATTGGAAGGGAGGAAAACAGGTCCGCGACGTAGGAAGTGGTGAAGGAAGTAGTGAGGGTGAGCAGTCAGAAATGTGGTAACTGTAAAGATGATTAGATTAAGGTATCTGCAATCAGTGGCGTAGCCAAGGGGGGGGGGTTTGGGGGTCACAACCCCCCCCCTTGGGTGTCCCTATACATGTTAATAAATAAGTAAATATGTTTTCGTAGTATACTTTTATGCTAACCAGTAAATAAAGAAAGTGCCAAACAATTTACCTAGTCTTAGAAATATATTAAGTGTTTTACAACATTTTTCATGTCACGGCAAAAGGCGTACACTACGACTATATTCACCAAAAACCTTTGATGGTACGGGGCGGGCATTGATTCTATCACATGTAGCCATGTAGTCAGAGCTGGAACAGTACTAGTGGTTCCACTTCCACCAGTTCTACCTCGCTCCCCGTTCCCACTGTGGATTCGCTAGCCTTCATTTTGCGCGGGAGAGTAGTCTGGTTAGTGTCACTTCACTGTCAGTAGTCACATAGACACTGACACTAGACAGATCACTGATGCCCTTACTGCGTTACTGCGTAGACTGCAATCCTAAAATGCCGTGGAAAGGTAGGGAAACAGGTCTGTGACGTAGGAAGTGGTGAAGGAAGTAGTAAAGGTGAGCAGTCCGGAGTGAGGAAACTGTTTATGACAATTAGATTAAGGTATCTCAAATCCTAAAATTCTATGGAAATGGAGGAAAACAGGCTCGAGACGTAGGAAGTGGTGAAGAAGTAGTCAAGGCGAGCTGTCCAGAGTATGGGAACTGTCTTCCCAATTGGCAATTACATTAATGTATCTGCAATCCTAAAATGCTATGGTAAGAGAGGGAAACAGATCCACGACGTAGGGAGTGTTGAAGGATGTAGTAAAGGCGGGCAGTGTGGAGTTTGGGAATGGATTAATAATGTATCTGCAATACTTTAGACTGCTTTCAGAGTAAACTAATGATTTTCCCCGAGCTAAGCTCGGTCCCCAGGCACTGTTTATTAAACAAACAATAAAGATATACTCCCACCGGAGAAAACCTGCAGACTAAGCGAATTTTAATTATTGTGATTGGATTTTAACTCAAATATTCAAATAAAACCAGTTATATTTATTTTGCAGAGCGAATGAAGCTCTTACGTCGACTCTTTTGCATTTCGTAACTACACGGCTGAAGAATTCATTTTCAAATTTTACATGGTGATAAAGACCATGTTGGTGAGTGCTAACATCTAATCTCTAATCTATATGGCGTTAACAAGTTTTCAAGAAATCCACCCCGCGGGCCCTCAAAATTACAATGTAATCCTTATGGAAGTAGTATTTGACACAAAAACAAAGGCATAAGATCAGCTGTTGACTTTGGTTATTAGCGAATTTCCCATATAGGGAATAAGCTATTACCGTAGTACTCATGGTAAGACCTGGACGCGGGACCGATTTTTTTTCGTTTTGAGGTCCTTAAAGGCCAAAAACACCATCCGTTTAAATTCATATATATATATGTGTGTGTGTGTGTCCGTTAGCGCGATAACTCGAGCAAAAATGATCCGATTTTGATGAAATTTGGTACAAACATGTAAACCTACATTTATTCGAACGAGTTCGCGATCCAGCATAATCGGACCATGGGAACAGGGATTTATGAGGGGTTTTATGGGGTTTTCCCATTTTTGACCCTAAAAACATAAAATTTTTGAATTTCATTCCCAACCATTTTCTAGAGCTTAAAAAAATAATTAAGTATATTGAAGCATTTTTGTATGCCTAACGGTCACGGAGAAAATTAAAAAAAAATGCAAATTTAAATTTCCCATGTTATTCTTATGGAGAAAATGAAAACTGTTGTAGCTTACTTGTTTATGGATATATGATGATCAAATTTTGCAAACTTATTTATTTCATCCTATACTATTGTTGTTTGGTCAAAAACACCGTTTACCTTCCCTGTAGCAGCAAACCTAAGCACTCGTTATATCTAATGTTATTTAAATTGGGAATAAATATGTCTTATTTATGGAAGTATTTTAGTAAATATGTAATCAGACAAGTTGAAATTCGCTTAGTCTGCAGGTTTGCTGCGGCGGGGGTATGTTACATTATACTATGTTACATTTTAGCGAATTTCCCTATAGGGAAGTAGCTATTACCGTAGGTGGCACGGTAAGACCCGGGGCTACAGAATACAGGGGCTAGCTAAGACCTGGAGCCGGGACCAATATAACATTATTCTTTCAGTTTTATATATATTATATACGTCCGATAACTTAAGTAATTTTTGTCCAATTTTGACGAAATTTTGTTTGAAGGTAAGGCGGGATAAACTTTAATAAATTCCCGAACCAGCATGATCGGACCATAGGAACAGGGTTTTACGCGGTAAAAATTGGTTTTTTCCATTTTTGATCCTCAAAACACAAAATTTCCCAATTTCTCTCTAAATAGTTTTAAAGAGCTTAAAAAGCAAATAATTTAGTATGCCAAATTGTATTTGTACGGTTGTTGGTTACAGAGAAAAAAAAAAAAAATTTAAAATTTCTATGTTATTCTTATGGAGAATATTGTAAAATATTGTAGTTTGCTTGTTTATGGAAATATTTTGATCAAACTTGGCAGTTTTATTTATTTTATACTAAGCTACTAATATTTTACTAAAAAAAACACACTTTATTAGCCTCCCTGTATCAGCAAACCTAGGTACTTGTTAAAACTAATGTTATTTAAATAGATTTAATTTCAAATCAATTCAGGCAAATGGAAATTCGCTTAGTCTGCAGGCTTGCTGCGGCGGGGTATTTTATTATTTATCACGGATATTAAAACATAAACGGTATGGACCACGAATACTAGAAAAGACCCGGTATGGATCATAAATGAAGACCACAGGCTAATAATAAGTTCAGTCCAAATTTTGACAAATTTTTATCAATTATCAATTATCAATCATTAAGATGGGGACGCCACTTAGGTGCGTATTTTAACCCAAATATGAGTGAAGGATGAGTGTAGAATGGTGTGAGATGATCTGTGTAGCTTTGTTACTGACTATGATCAGCTGTTTCATTAGCCAGGATCATTTATTTAAAGCCCAATGATCAGGAACAGCTGGGTCCAGTTTCGAACCATTAAAAAGCTACTGACTTTTCTCAGGATCGAACCGGCGACCTCTTGATTAGTAGACGAGCACTATAACCACTCAGCTACCCAGCCAGTTAATTGAGTTAACAACGCATTCTAGTGGGCAATGTTGAGCACTACAACCCTGTGTAACTAACATGCTAAATAACTGTTTTATCCAAGATATATTCCACAGACAATTCTCCCAAAAGAGCTTCTACACTGCAGCCCACATCTTCAGCGTACTTGGCTGCTAGAGATTTTGCGTTTTTTTCATTTTCATCTGTCATTTTAATGTTGCCAACTGTAGGCAAAAGGCCCTGAAATGACTGTAGAGTCGCTTTGTGTGCCGTGAAACTATTCTTTAGTTCATTGATGAAACTATCTAAAAATGGTATATAAATTGCTATTCTGAAATATTCTTCAGGAGAACTAGTTTTGACATTGCATCTATGTGATTGTCGCCCCGTTACTCTGGGTATGGTTATGGTTCGGCCAAAACCATCAGCTCTCTCTACAACCGTTTTGAAGATTTTACCGAACTCCGACTCAGCTTCAGTTCTGAGGGCTAGCAACCTTTCTTCGACTGCTGTTGAATATTGTAGTGCTGTTACAAGATCAAGATTTTTAGTTTGGAAAAATCTGCTCAAAGGCGCACTGATACTGAAGACCTTGTCTACCACTCGTATAGCTACCAAAAACTCCGGGCTTTGAATTCCACATAGCAATTGGTGTGCTTGTGTGGACGATTCTCGATTTTCCCAACCGGTGATGTTATTGAGAGCGTCAATGATGGCATCAAGTAATTCTAGGAACACATTGATACAGTCATGTCGTTCAAACCACCTAGTTGGACAAACGGCTTTCAGTCTGGTTTTATGACTTGTAGGGGTCTTGTACTCTATGGACTCTTGTAAGACATTTAACCGTTTGGGATATTTGAAAAACAAGTAGGTGTTGTTGACTACTCCCATACAGTTCATCACACTTTGAACATCACAAGCGTTGGTAAGAGCCAGATTTAGAACGTGTGAGCTACAGTGCATAGCATGTATAAAGCTAGAGGATAGAGTTCCCTCACAACTGCTTGGACGCCATTGAACTGACCACTCATGTCGCTGGCTCCATCGTAACCTTGTCCTCACATGTATTGCAAATCAATTCCAATATCTGAGAGACTATTCAAAATCGACGTAGCAATACCCTTGCCCGAGACATCTTTAACTGGGACAAACTGCAAAAAGTCTTCCCTAATTCTACTTTCTCTTACATCAAAATATCTAGCGCCGAGTGACATTTGTTCGATTCCGGCAATATCTGTGGTTTTGTCTGCTAAAACTGTAAAACACTTGGATGCATTTACTTTAGAAACCAACTGGTCTAAAATAAAATCATTACACAGTCCAATTATTTCATTTTGAGTTTGAGGACTTATGTACATTGCATTGTTTTTGCAAGTTCCAAGATGTTTTCTTAATCCTTCATCACCGGCTAGAGCTCTGAAACGCAACAGGCTTCTGAAATTGCCATCATTATCCAAAGGTTCTCCTGCAGCTAAATCAATTGCTCCATGGTCTCTGTGTCCCCTCAATGGTATATTTTGTCTACCACAGAGTATAATGGTTTCAACAATAGGCCTGAATCTTCTTCGGTTTTCTTCTATCTGCTCCTTTAAAGCCGAATTTATTTGTTGGTCGATTGGATCTTGTCTGTTTTTAGAAACAAGAGCAAGCTGATTTGCTTGAAGCAGACATTTCTTGTGGTAGTCGGTGTTTTGGGGTTTGTCAAATACTTCAACGGCGTCCTTCCAATTTGAGAATTTTTCTTTGCAAAACTTTCCTAAGGGCTGATAGCCTTTTCCTGCCCCATGCGGTGCGAATAGAACACAATATTTACAAAAGGCGCCATCTTCTTCCTTAGAGTACGAAAGCCATGTCCATCTATGTAGCCACTTGTATTGAAATCGTAGATTTCGCTTGCCACTCCCAGGGAATTTGAAGGCGGGTCGTGGAGTCCAAACTTTTTCTAAGGTGGCAGCTCGTTCCTCGAAAGTAATCTGGAATGGAATTAATATTGGTAGCAGCCTAATTTATGCAAACAAAGCGGCCGGTGTAGCAGGATTTATATTTTTTATACTACTGTACTTATAACTTAATGGCTCTTAGAGAAAGATGATTTTCAGCAGGCCTACGTAAAATGTTGTAGAACTTGTTATACATGCACATATAGTAGTACTATATGTGCATGTATAACAAGCCCATACATAAGAACCTTTCGTACTTCATATTATAATTATATATAATGCATTGATAAGATATCTATGTATTGTCAAATATAAAGTAAAATAAAATAAACATTATTTTTTCATCGAAATCTCTGTACGATAGTGTATATATGTGAATACGAAAAATGGTAGGCTACCTGTGAGTTGGAGACGAAGTGTACAATATCATTTGAACGGCGTTTGTCCTTCAAATTTTCTTCCGTACTAGACACCTAAAACCAAAGGATACATTTACAGCATAAAAAAAGTTGAGGTTAGGTGGACATTAGGTGGACAAAAATTTTATACAACAAATAAAAAATATAGTAGACGTAGGTTTACTCTACAAGTTTTTACTACAAATTGTCACACCAATTTTTTTATTATTTTCAAACAACAATGTTTTTCAACGGGTTTTGTTTGTATTTTTTCGAGTAATATATCAAATATATAATATAGGCCTAGAAGTAAATGTACTTACGTTCTTTGTAGACTTGAGATCAATTTGTACTGATGGTCCAGGTTCTGGTTCAGCTGATGTTTTGTCTACTTCTGAGCTCACCGAGCTAATGGACAGTTCAAGATCCGGTCTGTCTTTAAACTCCACAACAGTTTTAACAGGAATACTAAAACTAAAATAGTTTCTTAATAGTTTTGCCTGCTTTTCATTTTGCTCACTTTGGCCTAAAGTAGTGGCAATATGATGGTTTTTACCCCACTTGGGGCGTTTTTCTCATAAGAATAACATGGGGATAATTTTTTGGCCACCAAAACAAAAAAATCCTGATCTTTGCCTAAATATCCCTATATAATTGTCAAACCTTATTTCTTATTTATTCTCTATATATATTCAATATTAAGCTAAAAAATCTATTTCTTTTATTTATTGACCCTTACAAGTGTAAATGTAGAGTAGTGGTGAACCCAGAAAGACATGACACTTTAGGCACGTTTTTCCCATGTTATTCTTATGGCTCTTTTTTGGCCACTTTTTTTAAGACCCGGCTCTCGTCCAATACAAGCCTATATAATTGTTCAATACCATTGTACAACTTCATTACTATTTCAAATCCACATCCATTCACATGTATATTCTCAAAATCGAGCGAGGTTTGTACGCGAACTCGGGCGCGCTCCCGGCTCATGGCGCGCTCCCTTGGACATCCTTAGTGGATATCCATGAATTCTGGCTACTTGGGAACCCAAGCCATTTGACATACAATAAATCACCCTTTCTCCTAATTACCTTCTCTACCAAATACATGTCTTTATACTTGGTCTTTAACAACTCCTCTGTGTAGAATCCTCCTCTGATTATATTGCCATTTTCGTCTTTCAAGATATAAGTCAAGGCTTTGTATTCTTTACTTCTGCTATTGTAAATAGCTCCCCTGTCCAATTCGGAGTATAACCTTTACTAAAAATATGTTTATACCTGGAAATCCTCACACTATCACCTACCTTATATCTTGGCTTTTTAACTTGCACTACTTTAGAAGTCAACCTCTCATGCACATTGAAATAAACCCTTAAATATGGTTTGTATTCTAGTCTTATCTTAGTTTAAACAATAATAATTACGAGGACAGAGGTTTTAAAATACAAGGTTTAATGGTACATAAATGGTTAAAATAAGGTTACAAAAATTGTTCAGGGGTGGGAATTCGTGCTGGCCGAATCAAAAGATTTCCAATTTAAATTTTCAGTAAGTATGGTAAGTTATAAATTAAATAATCTTTTAGAAACAATAAGTTAAATAGGAAGGATTTTGATTTTAATTAGTGGAGGTAAATTAGGTCCAAATGGATGCTTGAAGAGTCTAGTCCGAGTTATAAACTTAATAAAAATGGAATGTTCTCACCAATCTTCTGTAATAATAATTTTCTTCTTAGTATATATCTTCTTTCTTCAGTAAAATTTGGAAATTTTGACAATACTTTCTTTTATAATTTCACAATTATTTTCACAATTAAGTTAATAGATTCTGTGTGTTCTTCTTGGATACTATAACTGCACTGTCAATCTCATTGTTGTACCTCATTTTCAGTTATGGGGTTCACATAAATAAGAACATGGTTGAAATTTACTTGTAATCTTGACCCCAGATGCACTGTATTTTAATTTGGAGGGATTGTTTTGAATAATAATTTTGGATAAGCCAATGAATAAATTTTGATTATAAATTATATATATGTTGAGACAATATGGTTTTAATAATTAACAATGAACATGAATAAATATTGAAAATATAACAAGATTGAGTTTGGAATTTAAATAAGGACTATATTTATAAACATTTAATTTTGAGTCATTACAACATATTTACTATTCTTAATACTCACTTGGTTAGGCTTCATTCCTGTAGATCTATGCACTTTATTATTATATTTTCGAATTAACTTTGGAAGTGAATCTAACCATTTATAACTACCCTGAGCACTAAATTCCCTATATAACCAATTCTTTAAAGTTCTCTGAAACCTCTCCACAATTGCAGCCTTAGTTGTAGAAAAAGTGTGATAGAGATTAATATTTAATTTTTTTATTGGTTTGCTAAAATATTGATTAAAAAATTCTTTTCCATTGTCAGATTGGATGTTTTTAACCCCCTTTGGTAGAATGGTTTTAATGGCTTCTGTAACCACCAACCCTGTCTTATTATTTAGTGGAGCAGCATAAGCTTTTATAGAAAATGTATCTATTAACGTTAAAATATATTTATTGCCAGAATTTTCTCTAGCATAGTTTTGCATATCAATTAAATCTATTTGTACGGTTTCGTTTATACCCAATACTTTAAAAGACCTTCTAATGAAATTCTTTCTTGCAGGCTTATGAAGTTCGTATGCAATTTCATTCATTTTTTATAACATCACTCTTTCCTTTAACTGTAAATATATTGCCATTAGCCCCAATCAATAGATTATCTTCCATTCTTTTAAATACATAGTTTTCTGGTATATATGGTCTATTATCTATATACAAATCCACGTAAAGATGTAGGGTCAGCAACTAATAAATCAGGATTGTATTCCATCAAATTACAATTTTTTTTCTCCATACATAAATTTCGATCCATCATAATGCATATCATCCGAATGTTCCCCCTCTGATAGATTCCTTATAAATAATTTTTTGGCATCCCAACAATTATGTTTTTTATAAAAAATTATAGTCTTTTCTTTTGTAACACAGTCAGTGTCATCAATGGCAGGTTTAACACGTACTAGGCTTTTATTATAAAAATTCCAATAGCCTGCTTCCATTTTTGGAACTTGTGAAACATTTACAGCATCTTTACTATCTGTACCTTCCATCAAATCGCTAAGTTTCTGTTTCTTAGCATTCCAAATACCATTCTCTGATTCTAAAAATTCATAATTATTATTGTCTTGTACAAATGTACCACCATCTTTACGTATTAAAGTCTGTTGTAAAGAGGGCACATCATCTAAACTTTCACCCTTTTCCACATTGGTAATTTTTTGTTTTTAGCATTCCAATTTTTATTCTTAGATTCTAAAAACTCATATTTATCTTTACCTTGTAAAAAGACATCACCTTTTCTAGTTAATGTCTGCCCCAAAGTTGATACATCCTTCCAAGGTTAAGAACTTGATATTATACATCAGCTTACATCATGGGGAAAAACTCCCCATCTTTAACATTACCAATTTTACGGTTTAAACAATTCCAACTATCGTCTTGTAAATCTAAAGTAGGTTCACTACTAGCCCTGGGTTCTGCAGGCTTATTATATGGATTATATAAACGATAAAATTTATCTATAAACATATTTTTATTTAATAAATAATTCCACTTTCTCTCAATTCCTCAATAATGGAATCTATTTCATTATCCACTCCTGAGTTACCGGCTTGGCAACTTAGCCAAAGAAGTCTTAACCTATCTACAAGCTCATTAGGATCATCCCAATAAATATAGTCTATTTTATTACCAGTCACTTGTCTCAAACCTTCACCAACAGATTTAAATAGAGGTTTAATTGTATTAAGATATTTAGTATGTCTATTACTTGAAATTGGTGCACTATCTTTGTAACTTTTTAAATGTCCGTTTGTAGCTTCCAAAATCTCTTTATAATTTTGCAAATCAACCTGAGTATAATCCTCAGGTTCTTTTAAAGTTAACAATTCCCACAAACCTTTTGTTCCCTTGTAGGTTTTATTTGCAACTATAACATCATCATTACCAATTTAAACTTCTTTATTTCCAATAAAAACTTTATTTGCTTCTCGTCCAATACCATATGTGGTGTATGTCATACTACTTTTACTGAGGTAATTTCCTTAATAGTCTGATGCTAAAAGAATAAAATCTAATTTCTGTGGGGTGGATTGTTGTAATGGTTGTAATCTTGGTATCATTGGTATTCTAGATGGAGTCATTGGGAGAATCTCCATGCGAGGTCTCTCTGTTTTGGCTATTTTTTTAATTCTTGTAATGGCTCTATTAAAGGTTGGAATGTTTGTAACCTCTCTTCAGCCTCTAGAAACTTGCCACGTTTTAAAGCTCTATATTTCTCTCGTATTTGATTTGCAAAATCAACCAATTCTTGTTAAATGTTTTTCATCTTTTATTTACATTTTATTTATCTCATTTGACAAAGGATTGTACTCAAACACTTTATCGTGTATTATCAAACAATATGCGGATGTATTTGCTGGCACATTTTCTGCAGTTTTAATCTCTAATTTAATATCAACAATTCCTTCCTTCACTGTTTCGTTCTGTCTAGAACAGTCTATTACAATTAGTGGATATTTCTTCATAAACTCAGCCCTACTAATCATAGGATCTGGGATAGTATTATAGTAAGTCTCTCAAAACCTCATAAACATCTCATAAGCTTTAGAGACATCTCCATTTTAAAAGTCGAGATTTAAATCGCTATAAGGATAATATTCAGAGTTTAGAAATACTTTGAGATATTTTAATTTACAGTGATCAAATTCATCAGTTCTTTTTCGTGCACTATTGTCCCTAGCTGTTTGGAAACCAAATATAATATACCTAGGCTTCTCCAAACTTTAAGACGTCTTTACTGACCATGTATGTCTTGTAGTATTGGGATATGATGGAAGTTCGTGCAGCTCTAAACTTCTAAATGTAATTTGCAAATTTTTATTTTGCAATAACATCTTTTGTAATTGTAACTTCTCCCCATCTGATGGTATCACATGTGGCATCACCCATTGAATTGAGGTAAGTGTAATTTTGGGAATTGCATCAGCAGTGCCACTGGCTGGAGCACTAGTGGTTGTTAATATGCAATTCAAATCATTTTTGGATCTTTTCAACACCAATTCTTGTTTGACATTTACTAATACCTTATTAACATCCTCAAATACACCCATTAACAGTTCTAATGGCAAACATGTACTAAACTTGCCACCTTTATGGAACTCTTTTAAATTCGTGTCAGAATCAAATGCTACATTTGACAATTTAGTTGTTTTATTGTAAGAGCTCAATATTTTTTCATTAGACTAGAAATTCCTGGGTTTCTTACAATGTCTATTTCTTTACCTGCGACTTCGTATCTAATTTCATCAAATAAGAATGCAAATGCATTATTTATAAAATGACTTTTATCATGATTTTCAATTTCTCCCTTAATATACAGATAACTCCTACATGGCAGAGTTAGCAAATCTTGATTATTAATACATATTCGAATTTTATCAGAATTATTTATTGCCAAAGTGTTGTGGGGAACATAGGAGTGATTTGTAATTTTAACCACACTATCGTCGACTTGGGATTTCCCTGTAACGTCTAGAAAATCTTCCATTTTTATTAATAGAAAATTTTAACTTTAGTCCTATTTATTTTAGGAACCTAGCATTTTGTACACATATAGATAGCTGCCCACTCTTATAAATTCTCATATTTTTTTATATGAAGTAATTGTAGTTTCTTCTCCATTAAAGTCAATTGCCTTGTCGTGCTGATCGGCAAATGTAATACTGACAACATCTAAACTTCTCTTATTTACAGGAAAATATATAATATTTCTTGGAACTTCAATAATTTTGTAGCCAGGAGGAGCTTATGGATAAAAGCTATGTATGGTGTGTGATTTGTTGCCATTTAAATAGGACCCATTTGCAATATTACATTTTACTCTAATCACATTTACATTATTAATGTTTATTTTATTTGTAGATTCAAACTGAACACCAGGAGTAGAAACACCTTTAAATCCCAATAAAACAGACCCTAAACATGTTTTTGTAAAATCAAACACATGGCTAGAAAGTAATGTCGCTTTCATAGTTTTATTATTAGCTGCAAGGAAAAAGTCTGGGATTTGCTTTTGAATTTCCTTTGCAAGCTCAACCCCCTCATATGTTCCTTCAGAAATTTCTATTGTAATTGGAGCTTTGTGGTCATAATAGAAAACATCATCACCTTCTCTAATGGTTAATTTGTTGCCTTTAAGTTGATTTAACTTTGGAAAAAGCCCTTTGAATAAAAGTTTGACTTGAGTATTAATTAATGCATCTCCATTTTTATGTGTTATAACTTTAAGTTTACCATCTAATAACTGTTTTAAATCATCAACTAAGATCTCTCCCTTTGGTAATGTTTTTTTCTCTACTTTGTAATATGTTAAATATTTAGAGGTTTTTCACATTAAATATAGAATTATAACTTTGAAAATCCACTAATCCAATTACATAATCATCATTTAATTCTATGGGAGGAAAGAACACTGACTTTAGCTCTGGCTCTGTACCTGAAAATGTTATAGTAAATAAATCAATTTTTATAAACAAAAATGTTTTATGAATGATAAACATAAAATTCCACAAATAGAACTATTTAAATCTTGTATTTGATCGGTTGTATAGAAGATTTTATATCCCTCAAAATATTTAATTACTTCTTTTGGAGGTTGGATTCCAAATGGGTCAAAATAAATTACATCTTTATTTTTACGATATGCTGTCCAATGTGTGCCAGATGAACTATCTAAATTAACTATTCCGCACTCTTTTACTCTTGGTGCTATAT